AATCATTCAGGTTTTTTTTTTACCAGTTCTGATCCGGTATGGTAACAAGCTCCTGTTGGTCAGTTAACTGATCATTTAAAAGCTGCAGTCAACAAAAGCATTTTTTCTTTTCACACCATATTTTAACTAAATCAATTGACTGATTTAGTTTAGGCACATTTTTAATGTAACTTCATTTAAATCATTTCTATGACTATGATATGCACTTTTTATATTTTGCAGTTTACATCATGGAAAATATAGGCCTTGTTCACATTAGATATGTTGGCATGACAGTGAAGCTCGTGTGTAAATGAATGATGGCTGATTCCCCTCTATCTGCTTCACTCTCAGGTTCCTGGTGTTGTCCCTGCCGTCTCACTGACATAATGACTTATAGGACACTTGAATATAACAGAGCCTTCGTTATTGTGATAATTAACCCTGTGCTTCTCCGACTGTGACAGATCAAACTGTCTGCCGTGAAGAAGTTGATTAGTTCAAATAAAAAGTGTGTGAAAACAAAACCTTTCAAAAATAAATTTTATATAAAGTAAATGCACATTATATAGTGTTAGAAATAAAACAAACCTTATATTCAATTCATATTAAAAGGGAATTTCATACTTTCTCAAAATTAAACAAACCTTTAAGCTCTACTGTCTGTAGTGTGTGCCTTTTTAAATATAAACTTGCCATCAAGTTTAACAGTGGTGTAAACGTTAACTTTAGTAAAAGCAGTGGAGTGTAACTACTTTAATTATATTTACCAAATTACAACACTAAAGTACAATTTGAAGCTTTAATCTCCTACAAGCTAGAGTAACTTTTTAGATTAAGAGTTTCATTAAGAAATATATGATCACTTTATTTACTCGTATAATGTATGTATTTACTGTAAGAAAACCTAATAAACAAAATGTAAATTATTTTGTACCATGAGATTCCATTTAAAGACAATAAATCAATATATTTAATATTTGGGATGGGGTGATTTTGGTGCTACAGCAAATACAGTTCTTTATTAGCATTGCAAAACATTTCTCCCACAACAATCTGCATCCCTCTTGTCATAATCAGCCATTCATTGCATGATGCTTGTCTTTATTCTTATTTTCTTTGAAAGTAAGTTAATTTAATGCAATTTAACAAGTGTTTTGCTCCACGCTGTTTGCATTTCCAAGTGCAGGGGGCTTGCTTTTCTCCGTATCTAGATGGTGGAGGTCAGGGCCGGGCGCTCCTGTCTGCATCGTCCCAGCTCTGTGCCAGCCAGATAAATGGATAGAGTGTTTGTAAGCTGTCTGAGCTTTGTATTTGCACAGAGTCACAACTTTGTATGGAATTGAGGGGGAGTTGGGGGCAGCTACTTAGATTTGTATGCAGACTACATCGCTCGGCCACCCCCTGGTCCACTCTGTGTCCTCTCACCTGCCTGTTGCAGTAAATCATAGAGCCATCAAGTGAAGCGTGTTGATGGGCCTGCACGTGCAAGAGCTTTGCTGCACCTGCCGTGTCTGTGTGTGTGCGTGTGTGCGTGTCCGTGCATGTGTGTGTTTGTTCTGCAGAAGTAGTGAAAGGTCTTTGCAAATGTTTTAACTGTTTCTATGGATGTTTACTTCTCTGTATTCACATCTCCTCCCTGAATGTGATTCTTCATGCAGGCCTGGGGGTCGGCGATAAGAGAGCTTGGGAGAGCTGCCTAATGGTTTGGTAAATGTGTGTGTGTGTGTGTGTGTGTGTGTGTGTGTGTGTGTGTGTGTGTGTGTGTGTGTGTGTGTGTGTGTGTGTGTGTGTGTGTGTGTGTGTGTGTGTGTGCACACAGCTCTCTGTGATATAAGTAGGGATGGAAATGGAGGTAGCTGGGTGTCAAACAGGAGGTCTGCAGATGCCCGTCCGGCTAAGAGCTGAAGGTCCCTCCCTTTGACAGAGTATCCATTCAGAGTCAATGAGCTGGGTCAAAGCCTGCACGTCAGGCTGCAGCTCGGCCTAGCACTGGGGCGGTCCAAGGGGTCAGTCGTATTCACATGGCGCTGTCATGCAAATGAACCCACCCACGCTTAAACAACTCTTGGAATTTTTATGTCTGCCCCCTGGCCTTTTTATTTTTTTCATTTCTCCCTCTTTTTTCCTGCTTTCCTCACTCCCTTTCTCTCTCTTCTCCTCTCCAAATCTAGCTCCCCTGTATTCAGAAAGTCATTGACGAGACATTCAAAGCTTTTCAAATTGCCCAGCTTCATTGTGCCCGCACTAAAGTGGGGGGGAATGGAGAGAGGGAGAGTGTAAAGAGGAGTGGGCCTAAATATACTCCGGTCTGAAAGTAGTTAGATCATGTTCTTTTCATGGTCCGATTAGAATCAAATCGATCCCCCCGCCCCTCCTGACACTCCAAGGTTTGAAGAGGAGCGGCCAAACAAAGATTTCTCAGCGGAGACGGGGAATGAATAACCAAACCTGAATGCTAAACACACTCCTAAAAGTCTCATTCTGAAGCATGACAATGCCCAAGAGAGTACATTTGTTTTAAGTGTGAGTGAGAGATGTTTGTGTGGATGGAGAAAAGATATCTCTACAGTGAGGACAGTGTAGGAGCATCTTTGGATGAGACCTGATCTACATATAAATCAGTAAAAAAACACACAGACCTCACTGGAGGATTTTCTCTAAAAAGGCTTAAAGCCTTTTGTTGATAAAGGAGGATCTTATACAAAGGTACTTCATCACAAAGAAGTAACTGTTGCTAAAGGAGTATTTTTGTTTAATCCATAATACGCTTTCTTGAGGAGCGAGGTTACATATACAAAGCACAAAGAAGTGGGTTGGGGTGGGGAGGATGGAGGTTCGGAGGTGCCCGCTGACGGAGAGGACGGCCGCTGGACACTGACTCTCCTCCAGGGAGGCCACCGCTGCGCGTGAGGGAGGGAGGGGATCTGAACTTGTTGACACCCTTTCTGCACCTGCAGCTGTGATAATGATCCACTTATTCTTCCACCAAACTGAGATAACTCTTATTTTAGTGGCTTTTTCCCGTTTTTATAGCACTTAATGCACTATATATTGAGTGTAGTTTGTTGAGGAAACTAAGACGGAATATGTGATTTCTTTACTATACAGTAGCTGTTTTTTCTTTTTTATATATTTGTGTTGGTTACCTGTAAACGCCATGTATTTCCAAAATGTCAACTTTCATGACATAAGAACACCAGCCCTACCTTTACTTATTACAATGCATTTTCAGGGAGTCCAATTGTTGTCTGTGTGGGCCATTACAAATAGTTAAACTAATGGAGACGGCATATTAGGCATTTCTTCAGACAATGTGCTTACAGAGTCTGGTCAGGTTCAGCACCAAAATGAAGAGCTAAAAAAATAACAATGGCAGTCATACGCTCAGTATACACACTAGAACTAATGATGTCTAATACAACAGTCCTGCAATACATCCATTAATCATGACCCTCATTATGTTTGTGTTTTAGTGAATGCATTTCATTTAACTGTAAAGTGATTTTGGAGACTGGAGTGCTGCAGTGCTGTTGAACTGAATTATGTTGTGCTATTATTTTGTCCACCCTATTTATATAAAAAAGGGTAGAAACTCTCGATTTAACACAAAGGATTTACTGGAGGACTGTTGTATTAGACTGCATTCGTTTTAGCTAATCTTTCCTAATAAACTTGGCAAGTTTTATATAGCCAAGTAAAGAAACCTAATGATTATTCCGCTAATATATAAAGTCCAACCACATTATTGATGAATGCTTCAAAAAATTAGTTATCCATTTTCTAAATAACATTAGCAAATCAGATATGAAAATATCCTATTTTTATACAATTGATCAAACACTGTATTCTGTCTTGGCTCCTTCAAGAACATATGTATAATATTTGTATTTGCTTTTTCTCAAATGTTAGTGATGCGGCTCCTGCATTATTTGTTGCTCTGCATAATGTATCGTCAGCTTACCTTTATTCATCTGTCCATTAACACGAGCAGCATCCTTCCAATAACTACAAACTCATGCCGTGCATCTAAACCTCGTACACGCACACATACATGTTAAGTGGATATCCCAAAGTTTCCAAATATACCGAATGCAGGAATGTGAAGAAGGATGCACCAGACATGAAGAATATTTTCACCTGCAGGAATGGCTACACAAACAGCTAACATATGCAAACAGTGTGCAGTTTGATTATCCAACCAAGTGTAAACATCTTATATCTTGATCAAAGAGCAATGATACATGATATACAGTTACGGGATCTGTGGACAAAGTGCAATAAGCTGCTATGTACATCTTAAAGCTTATTGAAGGGGGATCTGGATATTAAAAGATGGTAGTAACTCTGAATCTCTCCCCCCACCTTGCGGGTTTACATTTGAAACTTCTAAGTACACCTTTCCCCTTCTCTGTGCACATTCTTTCCCCCTGTATACCTCGTGCTGTTACAGTGACAGTCTGCTCTTGCAGCATGCAACATGAAGTTGTTTGCGTTCTGAATCCTAAGAGGAGCCAAACAACACTCTAGAGGTGGAGGGACGGAGGGGTGGGACCACCCTGCAGCTGCCCCCTTCTCTCTCTCTCACTCCCACCTCATCCCTTCGTTCCCTCTCCTATTCATCCTGCAGCTGCAGTCCTGTGCCCCTCTCTCTCACTCTGACATCCACAGTTTCTCTCTCTCTCTTTCTCTATTTGTCCCTGAGACACAAAGATGGATGGAGAAGCTCCTGGAATGGGGCGCACAATAGGTTGTGCCACAAGGTGAGCAGCCTCAGCTGCATACGGCCCAGTGCTGCCTTTTTTAGCTCCTGCGAGGCTCCTTACCCAACTTGAGTGTGTGTGTGTGGGTGTGTGTTAAGGGGGGTCTGAGCGGCACAGTATGGCAACAGATGCTTTTGTTCGGCCCAAAGTCTGAAAGGGGCCTTGGGTGGGGGGCTTAGCAGTGTCAGAGCACAGAGTCATTTTTCTCTCCTTTTTCTCTTACTCTGCCTCTCTTTCTCAGTGTCTCCCTCTCCCCAGCTGTGCCTGCCGTGGCGGCTGAGCAAGAGGAAATGTGAGGGCAACGGCGTGATGGAATACGTAAGTGGGGCGCGCGGTTTTGGCCTGTTTTGTGGGCGACTTCATTAAAGGGTCGTTTATCTGGCCTGTGATCCTATTGTCCTTGGCCTTCTTTATCAGCCCTGGTGTGTCAGGGGGGCGTAATTGGCCGATTGGCAACGGTCTGCGCATGCTGAGGTGATTTATAAAGCTGTGAATGGAGCTGACTCCTCTCCGGGCAGCGCTCCCTCTCCCATATAGGAGACACTGCACTGCAGAATAACACTGACTAAATGCAGAAGAAATGTGAAAAGGATGAAACGTCCCCAAAGCTCTTTGTGTGAGTGTGAAATCAGAGGCTTGAATAAAAGCTCTCTTTTCCCTTGTCATCTATTTTCTCCACCTTTATACTCTATCTGACTTTGTTGTTTCACCTCTTTAGACTCTTTCTGCTCTCTGGTGCTCACTCGCCTTTCATACTTTTTTAATTTTCATTTCCTCTATTTTTCATCTTTTGAAGCATGGCCAGAGTGTAACCTCCCGTTTCACCTTTAGCCAATCACACATGTGGTTCCCACTAGTCTTGATATGTAGAAAAAGGAAAACTGTGAAGAGTTGGTCTCCTTATTTTACCTATACTGATCAAACATAACTATAAATATTCAAATACTGAGAAAAAATACCAATCCAAACATGTTTAAAAAAAAATAAAAAATATCACAAACTGCAATTTCAGGCAGTTGCATACAGTGAACTTAAATGTCCATGAACACAACAAGGCATGCTGACACTAACATACATGCAGTTTGTGGAGTACTCAGCTATGTTTGAATGAATGCCATGGTGCAGATTATGTGATTGCAGGTGGGAGTGGGCGCTGGCTTTATGTGGTCCCATGGTGGGTTGAGGTTGGCTCTTAATGACCTCCTAATTAAAGCAGGCCCTCCTCTCAAAGGGCTGATCATGCAGTGGAGGTCAGAGGTCATTTACAGGGCTGCTGGTGGCCAGAGTTCTTGCTCCACGCTAATTGCTCTCCAATATACACAAATTAACACAAAGTAGTCATTTCGACAGGTTAATGGTTACGATATAATGTATGTGCGTCCTCGTAACATTGGCAGAGCAGGTTTTATATTGTTACCATGCCTTTATTGTTTTTTTGTTGTTTAAGTTCAGTCCGATTCAAATCACCTTCTACCCTCTGAGTGCAAACAGAGACTGAGAGTCTCTGAGGGACGTTTGCATTGTTCTGCCACAGACGCAGAGCCTGAGTTCATTAAGCCAGACTTAGTGTTTGTGTAAAGGCTAGACGGGACAACTCTAATCCCTGAGTGGTTGTCGGTGTGCAGATAAGGTCTTCAAACACAAGGCATTGTATAGGATTCACATGAAGATTCCCATCTTAATGTTTTTTTAAATGTTTTTGTCAAGTGTAGGATTAATGCAAAAAGCAATTAAGAAGGTATGTGTGGCCTGAAGACTGAAATCATGAATTAAATGGGATTTTAAAGAAGAAATGAAACCCAAACTTAGTTGATAAATGAAAGAAATGAAACAAAATACATGTTTTCTGGTAACCATGCAGTTGCCAATGTTTGTCCTGGGTTACTACCTTCCTCAGTTCTCTGAAACAGAGTCAGAGCTCCTGTCCCCAGACGAGGGAAGGCCAGGCGAGGAGGAGGGGCCTGGATCGGATTTAATGTAGCTGATTGTGCCCCCATAATAAAAGGAACAGTTTCTTCTGTGTTAATTTTCGATTTTGTAGCTTTCCGTGTGCCCGGCCTTTGTGTCCAATTCTTCTTCCCTCCCTAAACGGCACCACCGCCCCTCTCTTTTTCTTTTCTTTTCACTTCTCCTCTCGTCAGGCCGTGTAGATTATGTTGCTAAGGAGATTTCCCTCTTTCTTTCTTTTTGCTTTTTTCACTGTTTCCCATTGATTTGGTGTTAATGCGTTTTGAATGCCCCTTGGTGTGTGCCGAGCGCTGGGGGAGGAGGGGAGCACAGGGTCTTGCCGAGTGGAGGAATTTCAATCTGAAGCGGTTAGGTGGGGGTCTCTGTGGGTAAAGGCCCAAAGAGAGGCACTCAAGTGAGAACTGAAGTGGTTTGCAGCGCTGAGGAACCTCTCGCGCTGCCACTCCCCTCCTCTTCCCCGCTCCTTTTCAGGGTCACCCCTTCATTGGCAGCCCACAGGTGCACTGTCAATCTTTTCTTTTCATACCCAAATAGAAACCCATGAGTAAAACAAACATTTTATTCATCCTTTGGAAATCTGGGAAAATTGTGTCCAATTAGGCATTTACTCAAATGCATTTTATTTCTTCGAATTGTGGTTTTGTGGTGTTGGTTCTGTAGCCTATATTCGATACATCATCACAACCAAGAGTAACATTTATTTATTCATTTATATTTGGTGTAAATGCTGGTGTGTATGGAGTATATTACAGCACCAGCTTTGCATTCCTTTGAAATATATATTGGATGATTATGCAGCTCATGATTTCTCCCAGTCCCAACAATCGTTGTCAATGCAGTAAGTAAAGTTGTATTTAGTCAAAATGAAAGTCATGGTGGTAATGGGCATTTCTGAATCTTTTTAAGAAAACTGGAGTTCACAGTGCACATGTTTACCTTATTAGCAACCTGTCACTAGATGTTGCAGATAAAATAAATTGCAAGACAATTTTGCACAATTTGTCTCATATGAGGAACTTGTGTGTAGGATGTTATTTCCTGAGTTCTCTATGACAGAGTGTGGTCATGTCTGTAGCAATAAAAACTTGGGTGACATTGATTGCTGCTGGTCTTGGTCTGAAAGTGCAGCAAAAGGCTGTTAAAACACAGTGCTGAGAAATACTTTAAGTGAAGTTGTTGCAATTCAGCAGTTTTTCTTTAGCAGTTTTTTTTCCAGAATTATAGTTTAGAAAAACGCTCTCTCCAAATTCTACCATCTTGGGTTGAGTGTTTGTATTCGCAATATACCTAAAATATACAGGTTAGGCCAAATTGGCTTGCATTGTTTTGCAACAATCAAAAACTGACACTGCTCTCCAAGAGGAGCTTGAACTAAGATGGAAACTGTATGGGACTGTAATCATTTGGCTCATACTGTAGGGCGTTTTGTACAGAAATAACTTGTGCACCAAACTGAATATACATAATTATCCTTTTTAAATAATGTTTGTCTCATCCACAGTACATTAAGGTACTGTGTCATTGAATACTTTAGGTATAACAATTACACAGAAGATACATTGTTTTTGGGTCGTTGATCGGATGGCCCTGAAGTTGATTATGTGAAATGATAAACTGATACTTATATATATTTTACATTTTCATGAATTGCCTTTGTAATTTGTAATTCAAGGATTAATACATCATTAGACCAAGAAAGGATGGATACACCTTTTACCACCTTGCATTTCTTACAGCATACCCCTTTTTGTATTTAAACCTCTCTTTTGTTCCAGTCTATTATACTGTAGCCACATCATAATTGGTTTACTCCACCTCAAGTCTTCCTTTCTGCAACTTTGTCTCACTTTCTCCCACAGAAGCACAAACACATCTGTCCCTGCCCTGCAGCTGTGTGAGGACTATCCTCACATAATGACCTCTTAGACCATTTCATCTACAACACCCCTTTACATAATTAGGCAATCAGAGATTCGCCTCCAGCAGCGGCTGCTGTTCGGAGGAAAGCAGCTGCGTATATTATCTGGATTGCCTTAAATTGAATTTAGTGCAACATCAGAGGAGCAAACACTGAGTTACCAAAGGAAACACTTAACCCAATCTTATGCTTTCTCAGTTTCCTAGAAACCTTTGACAGTTACTATGAGTTTGATATGTCTATTGTCTTTATCCATTTCAAAAAGCAAGTGACACACGATAGCCACATGATACATTATTTTCAGTATTTAACTTTCTAATTTCTTGTGACACAGTTTATTCACTTCTTCAAAATTGAAGTCGTAAACCACCATTGTACCCGAGTTTTATGCCTTGTGAAGATAGTGTGTTAAGAAGGGAGGGTAATTTAAAGCTATGAGCCATGTCATATTAATAGCTCACACAAATACTTTATGTGAGTGAAAGGTTGCGCTCATAGTGACAAACCCATAGAGAGTGCACGACTGAAGTTCACCCCTACTATAAAACAGAGATTTATTGCAGCTTTTAACTCATTGTTTTGGTTTGCTCGCCTGCAACTTTATTGTTCTGGTTTCCTCTCACCACTCGTATGATTTCTCTTTTAGAATAAGCATGCAGCTGTTTTTAGTAAGAATGGTAATAAATTGGGCCTTACTTGGTGTTACCTGCCCAACAACAAGCAGACAATGTTGGCCACTTGCTAGTAAACATTGTGCAGCATTCAGCCACTTACAATATATTCTGCGGACAAAAAAAAGAACTAAAAGGAGTGTGAAAGTTGGATTTCCATTTGCCAGGGAAATGCAGACATGGCAAATAAGATTTGTAAATAAAATTACAAAAGCTAATTGCTAATTCTGCTTCATCCAATCCGGAGGTTTCCTTTAGGATATAACACAACTTTTCCTCCAATTTTGTTTGTGATTCCTGTAGTTTGAGGCACTCTTCTGTGTTTCTGATAGATTTTGATTTTGAATTCTAAACTTAATTAAATATAAAATGTAAATCACTTGTTTCCAGACGTGTACTTTTACCATTGGTTGGTTGGGCTCCACAAGACTAATGTCACAGGTGACTGCCGAGTTGGTTGGCTCTATGTCAATTAAACCTATTCTAACACCACAGCCAGGGTTGACCTCTGACCTGTGACCCTAATGTAACTAACCCTCACCAGTGTACTACAAGGAGACAAACACTCCCAGCTGCTGAGGCTCTCAATGGGCTCTAACTAAAGGGGAGGAGAGTCCATTCTGCAGCGGCAGACAAAGTAGGCTCAGGATTCTTGTAGTACACTTGTAGGAAGTCACTTGAGACTGTTGTGTCAGCAGATAAACAATAATTTGAGAGCACGGACAAGGCACTCTCACAATTTGACGATTAAAAAAATTTGA